GTGCTGGCTGGGCGTGCAGCCAGGTAGCAGGAAAAACAATGGATCTCTCGGAAGGAAGCTGGGGAAGTGGGGGTCGGGGTGGGGGGGCGCGCCCGAAGGAAGGGGGTGCTCATTCAGCTTATTCACCAGGGGGTGGGGGGAGTCCAGGTGTCCACGCTCCCAGGAGTACCCTCACTCCAACCCCACCACGCCAGTCTGAGCACACCTGGGGCGCGAGCCACCTGCCCTGCCTGAGCTGGGGCTCGGAGCCGGGCCGCCGGCAGGAAGCGAAGGCTGGAGGGTTCCAGGCCACTGCCCTAGGTGACAACGTTGAGTTGGTCCTGTGCTACCTCCTGCCTCCTCCCGCAGTTCCCAGAGTGTGGCTTCTACGGTCTCTACGACAAGATCCTGCTCTTCAAACATGACCCCACATCGGCCAACCTGCTGCAGCTGGTCCGCTCAGCTGGCGACATCCAGGAGGGCGACCTGGTGGAGGTGGTGCTGTCCGGTGAGGGGTGGGGCGGGGCCTCGGCGGGGGCGGGGCCTCCAGAAGAGGAGGTGGGCGGGGACTTGAGTTGGAGTCACTGGTCCCTGGGTATAAATTAGGTTCATCCCGGAGAAGGGTGGGAGGGTGCCTTGAGGAGCCCCAGTGGCCGCGTGGATTGGACGTTGAGCTGTTAAACCGAAAGATCAGGGGTTCAAGCCTCCCAGTCACTGTACAGGCGAAAGACGAAGCAGTCGCTTACGTCAGGGGCGCAGTTCTGTGTTCTGTAAGACCTCCTGAGTCAGAATCAGGTGGGTGCAGAGCGGTTGTATTTGGGGGTGGGGGTGGGGAGGGGTGTCGTTACACTATGGAATCCACCTCTCCCATAGCTGAAAGAACCCACAATGGCGTCGACCCTCAATACCATCACGCCCAGGGACGGAAGACAGCTAGCCCCATTCTCTGTATGACTCCAATTTATAAAGCCCCAGACAAAATCTAACAACCCACTACCATAGAGCCGATGCCCTACTCCTAGCCCCCCTCAAGGACAGAGTAGAACTGCCCCTGTGGGTTTCCGTTCCAGGTACTTCGCTTTCTCCCACAGCGGCTGGTGGTTTTGAACTGCTGACCTTGCAGTTAGCAGCCCAACCCATAGCAACCACACCATCCCCAGGGCTCAGAAAACCCACAAAGCCCACTCCCTGGGATTCGAAAACAGTTATCTTTGAAGGAAGTTAAAAGCTGGCCTGGGGGGCAGGGGTAGGGGAGTGTGGACAAGAGGGGGGCGCTGGTTTCCACTTCCAGGTATCAAAGCTCTGAGGGGAGGGGGGATTCCCACCCCCACCTCCACCCCCACCCCCGCCCAGTTTTTCTATAGGCAGGTTCTGAGCGTCTTAGAACTGAGAGAACCGGAGCTGGCCAGGTGCCGAGGTGGGCGGAGCTTGGGTTGTTAGTCGGTGGGGAGGACTTGCTGGGTCAGAGCCCTGCATCCCTTCTGGAAGGCAGAGTGGGAGGGCTTTCTATGTAATTTATTTATAATTATGACCCCAGCATGCCCTGTATAGTCTGAGGAAGTTTGGGTTTACACCTCCCCCACCCCCAGCCTCATCCCGCTTGTAAATACTCCCCCAAGGTGGAAAACTTGGGAATCTTGGTCTTCCTCCTGGCTTTCCCCTAAGCCTTCCCTGGCAGCTTCCCTCTGCATCTCAGATCACACCTGTCCAAGACAATGCTTGACTTTCTCCTTCAGAACCTGCTCTTCCTGCCCTGGTTGCAGCCAGCCAGTCAATGCTGACTCACACCACCCTATAGGACGGAGTGGGACTGCCCTATAGGGTTTCAAAGGCTCTTATCTTCATGGAAAGGATTCCTTATGGTGCAATGGGTTGCATGTTGGGCTGCTAAACTGAAAGGTTGGCGGTTCGAGCCCACCAGCTGCTCCAAGGGAGTAGATGAGGTGTTCTACTCCCATAGTTACAGCCTCGACAGCCCCTGGGCCCTTCAACTTAGAAGGTTCCTTTGAGTCAGAATTGACTTCACAGCAATGAGTTTGTTTTGGGGGTTGTGTGTGTGTGTGTGTGTGTGTGTGTGTGTGTGTGTTGGGTTTTTTTGGGTATAGAATGAATCACTTAGAAGCACAGGTGATACCAAGAGCTCAATTAGAAAGAAAATGTTTTTAAAATGATGATGGCAAAAAAGAAAAGAAAAGAAAATGATCCAAATGTGCCTGATACAATTGAGGTTTGGATGTGATAAGAGCTGTAAGAGCCCCTCCCCTCAATAAAACATTTATTTATTTATTTTATTTCTAACATTTCTTGCCAGCTTTTTTATTTTTTTTGAGATCATTTTATTGGGTTGGGGGGGGCTCTTACAACTCTTAGTACAATCCATGCATCAATTGCATCAGGCATCTTTGTACCTGTGTTGCCAGCATTCTTTTCTAGACATTTACTTTCTATTGAGCCCTTGGGGTCAGCTCCTCTTTTTTTGCCCTGCCTCCCCCATGATTTATTAAATTTTAAAAAATGGCCACAATAAGACCGCGCTTATGTTTTTGAAAAAAAGCAGCGGCGCACAGGTGACACAGTAAGGAGTTGAGCTGCTAACCGTAAGGTCAGTGGTTTGAACCTGTAGTGCTGCCATGAGTGGGAATCAACTCGAGGGCCGTGGGTTTGGTTTCGCTAGCATCTTCACGGAAGCGACTGCCACATCTTTCTCCCACTGAACAACTGGTGGTGGGTTTGAACGGCTTACCTTGCAGTTAGCAGTCGCCCGCTTTACCACTGCGCCCAGAGCTCCCTCTGCTGCCCTCAAGTGCATTGAAGGCCATCGCTATTGACTAGTCTCCTTGGTTCGTCCCCTTCCCTCGTTCAGTCCATCAGTAACCCTTCTCTTGGCCCTGCACCCTGAATTTTCTTTCTCCCCAAGCCCCACTGGTCCAGGCCACCATCACCTTCCCCCTGGCCAATTGCACTAGTCCACTGGTCTGCTCAGAATCCACCCATGCCTCCCATTTGCCCTGGGAGTGCAAACTCCTCCTCGTGGCCTGGAAGCCCAATGCCTCCAGGCCCCTGTTGGTTCCCCCAACTGATCTCCGATAGGAGTCTTCTCTTTTCTTTCTCGGTTCCAGTCCTGTTTGCCTGGCCTCTGGCTCCCCGCTGCCTCAGGGCCTTCCCCACCCAACTCCTTCCCCCTGATGTTCTCAGAGCTGGCTCCATCTTAGTATTTGGCCCTCACCTCAAACGTTACATTCTGGCCTTCCCTGACACCCTAACCCAAAGCCACCAACTTCTTTCTCACCTTCCAGGTCAGTGGTTCTCAACCTTCCTAATGCCTCAACCCTTTCATAACAGTTCCTCATGTGGTGGTGACGCCCCCAGCCATGAAATTATTTTCGTTGCTACTTCATCACTGTCATTTTGCTACTGTTATGAATTGGGCGACCCTTGGGAAAGGGTCATGGGACCCCACATCCCCCAAAGGGTCGTGACCCACAGGTTGAGAACTGCTGTTCTAGAGCCTTACACTGCTTCTTTTCCTTCTTGGAGTCCTTGTAGTAGTGCAGTGGCTACTAACCTCCAGGTCGGTGGTTCAAGGTCCCCCACCCCCCACAACAACCGCTCCACAGGGGCAAAGATGAGGTCGTCTGTTCTAAAGGTTGACAGCTTCAGAGTCTCCTGGAAGCAGTTCTTCTCGGCCCTGTAGGGTTGCTGTGGGTCGGAATCCACCCCGTGGGCTCTTTCGGTTTGTTGGGTTTTTTCTTCTTCTTCAGGGCATGTTATATTCCCTGGAAAGCTCTTGTTTACAGATCAGTGTGTTTATGTTTCCCATCTGCCCCCTCCAAGGCCAGCTGCGGCTTGTCCCTCTGGATCCTTGCGTTACCCCGTCTCAGCAGTGCTTGGGGCACCCGAAGAAATTGTCCAGCCAATCATCATCCGCGACATCACTTTTATATTAGATGGAAACTTTGAGAAAGAGAGAGAGAGAACTGAGACCGAATCCAAAAATGAAACTGCTTTAAAATAGTTATTGGGTGCTGTCAACTGGATAGTTGACTCACAGGGCCCCGCCTCACGTGATGGAGGAGAATGGCCCGATAGAGCTTTCTAGGCTGCCTGAAACCGTCGAATGATGGTGTTGCCACAGAATCCGGACTAGACCGTGCACTTCTCGGGGAGCAAACTTGTCTTGGATGAAGTGCAGTCAGAATGCCCCTAGGAAGCGAGGAGGGGGAGACCGTGTCTCCTGTCCTTTGAACTCGCTGGCAGGAGGAAGTAGTCCCTGGCTGAAGCACCATCACGCCTGGCAAGGCAGAGGGCCAGTGACAAAAAGAGGAAGCCCTTCAGCGAGATGCATCGACCAGTGGCTGCAAGGGTCGGCCCAGACAGAGCCACGAGCGGGGAGGAGGGCGCAGCTCCGGGCAAGGCTTTCTTCTGTGTCTGCGGGGTCATGCCCGCATCAGAACCAGCTTGGTGGTGCCGGATGAGAACAGCACTGATTTCTACAGGAGCAGACCGCCAGGTCTTTCTGCTGAGGCTCAACTGAGCAGTCTGAAGCGGCCAACTCCTAAGTTCTCTGCCTGCAGCTTAACCACTGCACCACCACCCCCAAGGACCCTTACGTGGGAACAATAGCTGACATGTACGGAGCATTCACTCTGCCAGCCACTGCTTTATTTTATTTTATTTTCAGCCACTGTTTTAATTGCTCTCCGTGACCTCTTTGACCCTGAGGTCAAAGCAAAACAGAACGGGATGCCCTTTTCCTAGATACCTGCAAGGACACTTCCTCTAAGAAGCCTCCCCTGACGGCCTATTTCCCCATCTCCTTTGCCTGCACAAAAGCTCTGCTTACCACTTAAAAGAGGCTTCCAGTGTTTAAAAAGCAATTACGTACAGCGCTAAGATCCGGAACGCTGCCGCCAGACGGGATTGGTTTTGAAACGCAGTTTCGCCACTTTTGCTAGCGGTGTGACCTTGGATAGGTCACTTAACCGGTCCGTGCCAAAAAGCCCTGGCAGCCAGTACACAGCCTTCTTTAATGCCTGTCTCTCTCACTAAGAAGCAGGGGTTTCGTCCATTTGGTTGGTATGCAGTGTCCCTCCCTACCACCTAGGACTGGCCCCCACTCACGGCAGCCCCCACTCTCTACTCTTCCCTGCCCTCTGCAGCCTCGGCCACCTTCGAGGACTTCCAGATCCGCCCGCACGCCCTGACGGTACACTCTTACCGAGCACCTGCCTTCTGCGACCACTGCGGCGAGATGCTCTTCGGTTTGGTGCGCCAGGGACTCAAGTGTGACGGTGAGGCGGGATCCCAGGACCAGGGGCGGGGTCAGGGGATTTCACGAGGGGTGGGACTAGGAGTCTCGGGGTGGAGTTAGGAAAGTAGAGGCCCAATGGCAGAGCTTGAGAGGCGGGGCTCGGGGGATGAAGGGGTGGAGTCAGGGAGAGTTCGGAGGTGGGGCGGAGCTTGGTTGAGGAGGGGCCTGGTTGGAGGTGGGGAAGTGGGTGGAGCAAAGCACTGGAGGGGAGGGGCTTAGGAGGGGGTGTTTTCCTGGTGAGAATAATGGGAAGTGGTGAAGGAACTGTGCTGGAGGTGGCGGAGGGTAGACGGGGGTCTTTATCAGTCGGTTCAACATGAGAAACAATTCGTAGATCACCAGGCCTGCTTCCCAGGATCACCTGTGTGAGATCCAACCACCAACCTTCCCGCTAGAGGAGGATTCTGGGAAATCTATACTAAGTCACGCACTGCAAGGAATTATTGGCATACAAGATCATGGACCAGACTGAAATCCCAAGAGCAGGACATTAGGGAGGGCAGGCTAGGCCTCTTTGGCCAAGGTCACTGACGACCACAGCCTGGAAGCCTCTGGGATTTAAAGACCGTTTAATGCAGCGGTTCTCAACCTGTGGGTCGTGACCCCTGTGGGGGGGGTCAAACGACCCTTTCACAGGGGTCGCCCGATTCATAACAATAGCAAAATGACTGATGAAGTAGCAACGAAAATAATGTTATGTTTGGGGGTTCACCACAACATCAGGAACTGTATTAAAGGGTCACCGCATTAGGAAGGTTGAGAACCACTGCTTTAATGGATTGAGAGAAGCCCCGGTGTAGTGTTTATGTGCTGAGCTGCTAACCTCAAGGTGAGCAGTTCGAAACCACCAGCCGCTCCTGGGGAGAAAAAGAGGCTTTCTACTCCTATAGGGTCGCTATGAGTCATCAGTCTGTTTGAGCTTGGTTTTATTAAGTGAATCAATCACACCCAACCCAGATTAACGGGATAATCTCTCCCCGTTTTGTTTTGGTTTTACAAGAGTCAACCCAGTGGCCTTTAATCCCACCTGTCAAATACTTTCACAGCACCAGCTAGATTTATGTTTAAGTGCCTACTTGACAGGAAAAGTTGAGACTGTCCAAATCCGCCCTTGTCAGTTTGGCATCCATACATAGTGTTAGACTTAATTTACTTAATCTGAAAATACAGACAATGACAAAGCCATCCAGAACCCAAAGCAAACTCAATGCCATTGAGTCAATTCTAAATTGAACTGCCCCTATGAGTTTCTGAGGCTGTTAATCATTCCAGGAGCAGAAAGCCTCCCTTTTCTCCCTTGGAGAGGCTGGTGGGTTCGAACTGCTGACCATTCATTCCAACTGTGTTCCATTCCAACAACTCTGCCATACCTTGGTTCTGGAGTGAGTGCAATACCCCTTTAAAAAAAAGTTCACATTAATTTTTGCCTTTTATCATCAGAATCTTTTTCAGTCATAACATTGACCATCAACCTGCCACCAGGGCACATCTGAGAATAATAACAGCAGATAATTAGATGCCGCGGTTAACAAACAAACCATGGCCAGCCTGTGGGTTCTGACTGGTGGCTACCCTCCAGGACAGAGTAGAACTGCTTCCCAGGATTCCTAAGGCTGTGTATCTTTCTGGGGGGAGATATCCTCAGTCTTCTCTCCCAAGGAACGGCTGGAGCACGCAAATGGCTGCCCTTGGGGTTAACAGTCCAACACTTAACCTAGCATGCCACCAGGGCACCTGCCTGAGAAGTGGGCAACTATTCAACTGCAACCAGGAAAGCCATGCGGGGCAGTTCCACTCTGGACACGTGGGGGAGCGAAAAGTTTCAGTCGATTTGAGGGCCATGAGAGTTATTATTGATCGGTGACCAGGAAGGAGGTCACGCGCTGGGCTGCTAACCCCGAGGTCAACACCTTCAGCCGCTCCGCTGAGTGGAGTTGGGTTGGTCCATGGAGTTGGCTCATAGGACATGGAGGGGGCCTTTTGCAGAGTTGGGACTTAGGGAGGAGCAGTTTCCTTAAGGAGTTGGGCCCGGGAAGGAAGGGAGACTCAGTGGACTCAGGAAAAGGAGGTGCAGGCGAGGCTAGAACAGGAATATCCCACTAGCCAGACCAGAGTAGAGGGGTGAAGTTAGGGGGCGGGGCTTCAGGGCCCATTCAGCTCAGGAAAAATGGCCTTTGGTGAGATGGGAATGGGAGGGGGGCGGGCTACAGTGTTTCCTCGAGAGTGGGGGCGGGGCTCTAAGGGGAAGGGGCGGGTCCTAGGAACGGGTGATTTAGGGAGGGAGGAGTAAGACGTGGATAGGGGCGGAGCCCAGTGGAGAGCCTGGGCGTGGCCAGAGGCTGCTTCTCTGACCACTTGGCGCCCCCTTCAGGCTGCGGGTTGAACTACCACAAGCGCTGCGCCTTCAGCATCCCCAACAACTGCAGTGGTGCCCGCAAACGGCGCCTGTCTTCCACGTCTCTAGCCAGTGGCCATTCGGTGCGCCTGGGCACCTCCGAGTCCCTACCCTGCATGGCCGATGAGTTGGTGAGAGGCTGGACGGTGGGGCAGCTGGGTGGCTGAGGGGGTGATGGGATTCAGCCCTGGGGGCCACGCACTGATGGGTCCCCTGCCCACTCGCTGACTGGACAGTGTCGGAGCACCACGGAGCTCTTCCCGCGCCGGCCCCCTTCCTCGTCGTCCTCGTCCTCCGCCTCCTCCTACACGGGCCGCCCCATCGAGCTGGACAAGATGCTGCTTTCCAAAGTCAAGGTGCCGCACACCTTCCTCATCCACAGCTACACACGGCCCACTGTCTGCCAGGCCTGCAAGAAGCTTCTCAAGGGCCTCTTCCGCCAGGGCCTGCAGTGCAAAGGTCAGCAGAGCCCGGATCTCCCACTGGGAGCCTGGGAACCTCCGCGGGGCACAGGAGTTCCGCTGAGGAGTCACTGAGTTCTAGATTAGAGAGGTAGAAATTTCCTCAGACTTAGGATGCCCGCGAGTCTTCCAACTATAGAACGTAGAACTTTCCTGAGTCTTTCAACATCTACAATCAGAGAGAGGTCAAGTTCTTTTTTCTTTTTTACCTTTAATTTCATGTCTGTGATTCCATTAAACCATTTTTTTTTATTTTTTTTACATTTTATCGGGAGCTCTTACAGATATTCTAACAATCCGTAGTTCATTAGATTAAGCATAATTGTACAATTGCTGCCACCAACATTTTCAAAACATTTTCTTCTTGAATTCTTTGATATCAGCTCCCCTTGATCCCCTCCTTCCCTCACTCTATCTCATAAGGAACCCTTGTTATTATATATAATCTATTGTTTATTGTATGTTATATTATATATGTTATTTTATATATATCCATATCTTACACCATCCAATGTATCTGCTCACCTACCAATCTGTTGCTCATTCCCTTTGAATGGGGTTATATAAATCGTTGCTATCGGTTCCCCAGCCCCACCCTCGAGATGTAAAGTTCTAAATGCAGAACGCATAGAATTCTGGAGTCGGCTAACTCTAGAATCCCAGAACCTTAGGAAAAGGGGTTTTCACCAAGCTCTGGAATCTTGGCCATACATTGTCGCGTTCTAGAGTGTTGAAGCCAACCCCCTTTAAAGCATGGGTTCTCCACCACCGGCAATTCCCACGCCCCCACTCCCCTAGAATGTTGGTAATGCTGAGAGACATTTTTGGTTTTCACACCTGGAAGGTGTTGCTGGCGTTGCGGGATTGAGGCCACGGATGTTGCTAACCATCCCATAATGCACAGGGCAGCCCTCTACACCACGGAATTATGTGGCCCAACGACATGCTGTCGCTAGGGGGCACCCAGTCGGTTGAAACCAATAGCAACCCTAATCACAACAGAACCAAACACGAGCTGGACCTGCGCCATCCTCACAGTTGTTCCTATGCTTGAACGCATTGCTACAGCCACGTTACCAATCTGCCTCTGTAAGGGCCGTCCTCTCATTCGCTGCCCTTCTAGTTTATCAAGCATGATCATGGCCCTTCTCTGGAGCCTAGTCCCTCCTGATAATATGTCCCAAGTATGTGAGAGGAAGTCTCACCATCCTTCCCTCTATGGAGCACCCTGGCCAGATTCCGCCCAAGACACTTCAGTTTGCCCTTTAAGCAGTCTGTGGTCTTCTCCATATTCTCCAGCAGCACGATTCAAATGTATCGATTCTTCAGTCTTGCTCATTCCCACTGTCATGCATAGGAGGCGATGGAAAATACCATGGCTTGGGTCAGGGCCCCCTTAATCTTCAAAGTACTGTAACATCTTTGCTTTTCAAAACTCTAATGAGGTCTTGTGCAGTAGATGTTCACCATACAAGGTTATCTTTTGCTCTCTGGCTGCTGCTTCCGTGAGCATTGATTGTGGATGCAAGCAAGACGAAATCCTTGACAACTTTCATCTCTTTTCAATTTATTGGTCCAATTGGTCTTCTTGACATTGAGTTGTCATCCGTAGCCTGGTAGGAGTGTCCACGCTGAGAATCCTGTTCTAGCGTATTCACAGTCTCAAATCATCACAGGTAGGACTACATTCTAGAATTTTGCAGTTCACTCTCGGACTGAATCTAGCCCAGCGCCCACCCCCACTCCCACTCCCACTCGCCGCCCTCCTGCTTCACAGTTAGGGAATTGAGGTGCCAAGAAGGGGTGGTGACCTCAGTGCGGTCAGCCAGATTTCCAGACCCAGAGAGCTAGAGCTTGGGTCCCTTTGAACCTGGGATTCCGGGCTCAAGAGGCGACCCTTCCAGGCACATCTCTCTTCCCCGGTCCCCTGTCCTCCTTCCTAACAGATTGCAAGTTCAACTGCCACAAACGCTGTGCCACCCGTGTCCCTAATGACTGTCTGGGGGAGGCACTCATCAATGGAGGTAAGAACTGGGGGGCCTGCATGGGAAAGGCGGGCCCAGGGCTGAGGGAACACCCGCTGATGCCCCTGTCAACGCTAGATGTGCCAATGGAGGAGGCCACCGACTTCAACGATTCTGATAAAATCGCCCTCATTGATGAGTCTGATGACTCGGGCACCATCCCGGGCTCCCACTCAGAAAACGCCCTCCATGCCGGCGAGGAGGAGGAAGGAGAGGGAGACAAGTCCCAGAGGTACCCATAGCCCCTCCCCAGTGACCCTCTTCCCCACCCCCCATCTCTTAAGAGATAACACCACTTTGTATTTGCATAATCTGGGGGCAGACCCAGGCAGCGGGTCACTGTGAGTCAGAAACTTGATAGCACCTCACAACAACAAAGAAATCACCAATATGTTAGATTTGGGCTTTTCCCTCTCCCCAAATGTATATTTTTTAAAAACCCCACCTTTTAATTGAGATAGATTTGAATTGATATGCCTTATTTTTTGAGAAGCCCTGGTGGCAGAGTGGTTAGGCTGTCAGGCTGGCTGCTAACTGCAAGGTTAGCAGTTCAAAACCACCAGCCTCTCCTCAGGAGAGAGGTGAGTTTTCTACACCTGTTAAAAGAGTTACCGTTTCTGAAACTCCTGGGGGCAGTTTGTTTTGGTTTGCCTTGGGTTAGGACTTTGTGTAGCTCTAATCTGTGAATATCAGTGAGTGGATGTGTGTGAATTGTAACATCAGCAAATTGCCCACTGCAACACTGTAGCCAGCGAGGCTTAGTAACACTGAGATGTAACTGAAAGGCTATCTTTAATTGCAGCTGGTTGTCACTCAACACTTCTTCTTAAGTCATATTATAGAAATGTGGTGAGGATGCCATGAATACAAAGTAGCCACTGCCTGACACAGTTGCAGTGTGAAATAAGTGTTGTGGATTACAATTGATCACGGACCACGAAAGCCTTTTAAAAAGAAAAGAATACTTTTAATCATTTGGACCCCTGGTTTGTTTGTTTATTAATTAGAGCATTGGGGGAGGGGCTCTTACAGCTCTTATAACATATATAATGTGGGCATCAATTGTATCAAACATATGTATGTGTTTTGCCATCATCATTTTCTAAACATTTACTTTGGGGTCAGCTTTTCTTTTTCCCCTCCCTCCCACCCTCGTGAGTCCTTGATCAGGTGTTATTATTTACCCCTCATCTCTTTGAATGGCCTTAAACTACAGCCGTTTTCGGTGCCTCAGTCTGTCAGTGTATAGGGGGACCTTGCCGCCCAGACTCTGCATTCCACCCTCTGCAGTGTCCCCCTCCCTTACCACCAGGAAACATGTTTTTGTTATCAATTGGCCAAAGGCAAGTTGCCAACCCTTGAGACCCTAGGTGCTGATAGGCATATTCGGCCTGTGACTTCTGGTCTCCCCCCTCTCTGCCCAGCTCCCTGGGGTACATCCCCTTGATGAGAGTAGTGCAGTCTGTACGGCACACGACGCGGAAATCCAGCACCACGCTGCGCGAGGGTTGGGTGGTTCATTACAGCAACAAGGACACGTTGGTGAGTGCATGGGGCGGGGCCACGTGGGTGGGGCCAGAGCTGGAGAGGGGGCTTGGCTACAGGTCGTATTGGGATAGGGCCTGTGAGTTGGACAGTGCTAGATTTCGGAAGGGGAGGCAATTAGAGACACAGGAGAGCTAAGGTCCATTAGTTGGAGCTGAGTGGGCCCAGCTGGGCTGAACCAGGTGGGGACGGGGCTAGAGTTGAGGGCGGAGTTAAAAGCAGAGGTGGACTGGGGGTCCCGGAAAGATTGAGCCTTGCTGGGTGGAACATCAGGGCGTGGCTAGAATTAGGTGAAGGTAATCTGTCGGTGGGTGGGGCCATCGGGGGGTGGAGCTAGAGTTAGGGGCGGAGTTACAAGTAGAGCTTGGGTTGGGAGTGAGACTGAGTCCAGCTGGTGGGGCCAGGTTGGGGTAAAGCTGGAGTTGGGCCCAGCGGATGGCAGGAGCCCTGGCAGTCTGGGGACAGCGGGAGAGGTGGTCAGGGCTCAAGCGGCAGTCTCCATGCCCCACAGAGGAAACGGCATTACTGGCGGCTGGACTCCAAATGCATCACGCTCTTCCAGAACAACACGACCAACCGCTACTACAAGGTCAGCCTGCGCCCTGCCCCCTACGCCCAGCCGCCCAGATGGCTGTCCTGCCACGTGCCCCCTGGGAAGTGTTTACACCTGGCCAGGCCTTGTCCACCGTCCTCACCTGAGCAGTGCCTCCCATGATGGTCCTAACCTCATAGGGCTGCGGGGGAGGGAGGGGAGAGGGGAGGGAGCTATCACTTAAAGCCACCAGGCAGCTAACCTAGGACCTGTCATAGGAACCCTTGGAAGCGTAGTGGATCATGGGGTTTTGGCTGCTCACCCCAAGGTCAGCAGTTCAAATCCACCATCTGCTCTAAAGGGAAAGATGAGTCTGTCCGCTCCGGTAAAGGTTTATATAGCCTTGGAAACCCACAGGGGCCAGTTCGACTCTGTCCTATAGGGTCGCTGTGAGGCGGAATCAACTCGGTGGCAGTCCCAGCCCATTCCTCTCAGAGAGGATCCTGTGTGTTTTCCTGGGTTGAGGGCCCGGACCCCGAGGGTTGGCCTGGCCCCTGACCCGAGCTGGCTCCGTGTCCTGTCAGGAAATCCCGTTGTCGGAAATCCTCGCCATGGAGCCTGCCCAGAACTTCAGCCTGGTGCCGCCGGGCACCAACCCACACTGCTTCGAGATCGTCACAGCCAACGCCACCTACTTTGTGGGCGAGACGCCCGGTGGGGCCCCAGGGGGCCCCAGCGGGCAAGGAGCCGAGGCGGCCCGGGGCTGGGAGATGGCCATCCGCCAGGCCCTGATGCCCGTCATCCTCCAGGACACACCCAGCACTCCCGGCCACACGCCGCACAGTGAGTTCACCTCCACCCTGGGGGCGGGGTTGCTGGAGCCCACCAACCTGTGCTACTTTAGGCTTGTCACTCACGGGTCTCAGAGCCTTCTTGCAAGAGCGTCCACCCCTCCCCATGATGACAGGAACTTCCTTTCTTTAATCTTTTTTTTTTCTTTAATTGTTGCTGTTGCGAATATGCCCGATATCATGGGGACTTTGTGGTCTGGAAAGTGAGGAGCCCTGGTGGCCTAGTGGCCCCACATTGGGCTGCGATCTGCAAGGTCAGCAGTTCCAAACCATCAGTCCCTCCCCAGTCAGAAAGACGAGGCTTTTTGCGCCCGTCTGTCAAGAGTTACCGTCTTGGGAACTCACGGGAGCAGTTCTAACCTGTCCTATAGAGTCACGCTGTGTCAACATCGATTCAGTGGCAATGAGTAAGTTCTCTATTCTTTGAAGACTTGAATATTGGAAAGAATAAAAGTTTGCCAGTTTGCCCATTTCTCCCTGTACAGTTGGGTAGCCCCATCCCCAAACCGTGTTGTCTACTCAGAGGAGGCAGCGCTGGACCCAGAAAGCTAGATGGGCTCCATCCCTAACTGTAACTCTGCCCACCACTAGCTCCACCCGCCTCTAGCTCCACCCACCCCTACCTGCTTTCCCACTTGGTCCAGCCCCAACTGGGCCCAGCCTCACCTCCACCTGACCCCACCCACTAAATTCCAATCTTCCTCTGGCCTTGGTCCAAAACCAAAAAGTAACTCTTTACAGGAAAGAAAGCCTCGTCTTTCTCCCAAGGAGGTGCTACTGGTGGTTTTGAACTGCTGACCTGCAGTTAGCTGCCCAACTCGTAACCCATTAAGTCCCCGGGCCTCCTGGCCAAAGGCTTAGGACTGAGGAAGTGTCTGGTTTTGCTTGAGTTATCTGAGGGGGTGGTCCATTGGAGGAAGATGACCAGGTGTGTTTGGGCTTCCCTCCCCCCAAGCCGCCGTTTCTCCTCTGTCCAATGGGCCTCCCTCGTTGCTGAAGTGGACTATGAAATCATTCCAGATGTCACCTCCTGAGCCCTTAGGACATCTGTTGTCCTGCTAAACGGCCTTCAGAAGACCACTTGATTGTACATCCTCTCGTTCTTCCCATTGTGCAGATGAGGAAAGAGAGGTTCCGAGTGGGCCCAAGCCAGTCGCCTGAATATTGAGACACCCAGATTCATCCCCAGGCAGTCTGCCTCTGGAGCTATGGGGGAGGGTGGTACCGAGCCCAGCCCCTCACTCCCACCTCTCCCCGTCTCTCCAGGGCAAGCTTCTCTGAGCATCTCCGTGTCCAACAGTCAGATCCAGGAGAACGTGGTGAGGCCCCTGCCCACAACCTGTGAGCCCATGGCACCCTCCCCTACCCCACCCTCCACCTGGACCCCTCTCCTATCTCCATGTGTCCCCTGTTCCCCCACCTGCAGGACATCGCCACGGTCTACCAGATCTTCCCGGATGAGGTGTTGGGCTCAGGACAGTTTGGTGTGGTCTACGGAGGTAGGGACCAAGAATACTTGGACTGAGCCAGAGGGAGAGGGGAGTTGGGGACCCTGAGGCCCTCAGCAGCTGGTGCTGGGAGTCCTAGCACCTCACTCCTAATAGGCCACGTGCTCACACCTACAGCGTTCCGATTGGCTTAGAAAGCTCGAGGGAGGAGCCCCTGGGTGGTGGGGATGGTGGAATGTTCAGCTGTAAAGGGAAAGGTTGGGGTCCAGTCGAGTCAGAAGCACTATCTTGGGTGCAGTGGGGGTTACAGGACCTTTGTCACCGTGAAACAAAACCAAACTACTTTTCCCAAACACCTCAGGATTCCATCTCCCAGCAACCGTATATAGGGGTCTCCCAGGCTGAAACTCTTTACGGGGACAGCCTCATCTTGCTCCTGTGGAGTGGCTGGTGGGTTTGAACCACCCACCTTGCGATTAGGGCATCCCAACGCTTACCGAGCAATGCCTTTAAGGCTCCTTTGTTCTTAATAGAAGCGGACCCAAGTGGGTACTCTGATGCACCACAGGGCTAAATCCTAGCTTCTGATTGGTTCTAAATCTTATTGTTCAGCCTTAATTCCAGGGCCCACTGCTCCTGGCATATCTCCTAGGACACCCACACCCACACACACACACACCCACCCACACACACACACGCAGAAGCATTGATGGCATTCTGCCCATCTTTGCCTCACTCTGGCTGTGTCTTAGTAGAATAAGGTGGGGACAGCCAAGGCTAGGACCTCTTGCTAGTCTGAGGGGAAGCCCCCTCATCTCCCCTACTATCCCCCTCCCCTCACTACCCACCAGGAAAGCACCGGAAGACAGGCCGAGATGTGGCGGTGAAGGTCATAGACAAGCTGCGCTTCCCCACCAAACAGGAGAGCCAGCTCCGGAATGAGGTGGCAATTCTGCAGGTGACCACTGTGGGGTTCTGGACCCCAGTCCGGCCCTACCCCTTCACAGGTCCCCCCTCCCCCCTTCAAGGGCAGTCCATCCAGATCCAGTAGTCAGGGCAGGCTTCCTGGAGGAGGGTGTTTTCTGAGCAGAGGACTAAAAGCCTGGAACCAGAGAGGTCCTGATGTGCTCACAGAATTTAAGAGATCAGGGATGGGGTGGGTTGCGAGGCCAGGGAAGAGGGTAGGACCAGACCAATGTGACTCTCTCCCAGGGCCCTGGGGAGCCATGCAGGAAGTTTGAGCACGGAGGGTCAGGGATTTGTTTTTGGAAGAGCCCCCTCTCTGCCTGTCTCCTGGAAGGTGGTAGGGGTAGGGAGGGTCTGGATGGGAAAACACAGGAAAGAGCCTCCAGGCCTGAGCAGAGTGTGGGGAGGAGAGAGCTAAGTAGCTATGTAAAGTGGTTCCTGGCCACTCCTGCAGCTGCCCTCCCTCCCAGAATCGCTTGATAGAAAGGTGCTGCCTGCGCCCCCGGTGGTGCGGTGCGCGAGAGTGGTCTCTCCCAGGCGTGGTCTTCCCCCTCCCCTCAGTGCCCCTCAGCATGAGCCAACTGGGGTCTGAGCTCTTGAGGGGTGGCTTGGGCCCTGACTGCGCCCTGCGCCCCCTGCCCCCAGAGCCTCCGGCACCCTGGTATCGTGAACCTGGAGTGCATGTTCGAGACGCCCGAGAAAGTGTTCGTGGTGATGGAGAAGCTGCATGGAGACATGCTGGAGATGATCCTGTCCAGCGAGAAGGGGCGGCTGCCGGAGCGCCTCACCAAGTTCCTCATCACGCAGGTGCGCCCACGCGCGCATGCCCGGTGCCCCCGCCCCTGCCCCACCCCCCAGCTGGAAGTCAAGCAGACTACAGGAGAAAGCCTGTTAGGTGGACGATAGGAAAAAATGATAAAATAGCAACAATAATAGGTAGGAAACATTCAAAGGTATCCCCCCACCCCCAAAAAATCCAATCTCACTGCCCTTAAGTGGATTCCAACTCAGCCACCCGATAGGACAGGGTGGAGAACTGAGCCTGCGGGTTCCCAAGACTGTAACTCTTACGCCACTTCCGCCACCCGAGCCCCTCCACCGAAAGAGGAAGCATGATGGAAGAAATACAAGGGCACGTCAAAAAGTCCCTGGAAAAATGACATTCCACTTTTCCTCGAACTTTCTGAGGTCCCCCCCCCTCCCAGAATAATGGAGTAGTAGTAATAAGCGAAAAAAATAAAATTGTAGGAAAAAGCATGAAGCGGAAGTACCAGCAGCCCTGGTGGCACCATGGTGAAGCGCCTGACTGCTAACCAAAAGATTGGCAATTCCAACCCATTGTGGGGCGGGTAGAAAGAGCTGGCAGTCTTCCACGGGCAGGATGACAACCCTCCGAGGCAGTTCGACTCTGTCAACTTCGGGTCACTGTGAGCCAGACACCCCTGAGGCAACCACAGTACAGTGGTGGTAATAACACAGTGGACAGTGGAGTCATCATGATCATAATAGAGTACCAACAAGAGTGTAATAACACAAACAGAATGAGAAGCCAGTTCACCCAGCAGCTTTTATGTGGATTCCCGCTCACAGGGGCTGCAAATCTCACCCCTCCGGGTTTTCAGGGGCCAAGACCTTTTCCCCCAGAACCTGACCTCGGGGTGGACGCCAGCCTCTGTGAACAGTTGCGCGTGCTAGCCATTAACCTGTGTGAATCTCGGGACACCTAAAAACCAACCAGACTCCCTGCCATCGAGTGGATGCGGACTTCCTCTGTAGGACAGGGTAGAACGGCCCCCGTGGGTTGCCAGGACTGTCACTTGGTACTGGAGTAGCAAGCTCTCTTTCTCCCGCAGAGCGGCTGATGGTTTCAAACTGCTGACCTTCCGAGTCACGGCCCAATGTGTAACCACTCTGCCACCAGGACTCCTTAATCCCAGGGACACCAGGAACAAATAAGAGCGTAATCACTTGTACAAAATAAAGGTGGTGGTGTTGGGGAGTCGTTCTGACTCGTCTTGGATGGGAGTCACGGCCCAATGTGTAACCACTCTGCCACCAGGACTCCTTAATCCCAGGGACACCAGGAACAAATAAGAGCATAATCACTTGTACAAAATAAAGGTGGTGGTGTTGGGGAGTCGTTCTGACTCGTCTTGGATGGGCTAGAACCACCCACCTTGGGGTTGGTCGCTGAGAACTCCCCATGGAGTTGGCCATAGTATCATTTGCTTATCGGCCACTTGGATTTCCTCCAGAATCACCCCTGCTTCCTGTGCCCTCTGCCCATTTTACAAGGAGACTAGCCTCTTTGCTAGTGACTTGTAAGAGACTCTCATAATTATGTGAGCGTCCTTAGAGCAGTGATTCTCAACCTTCCTAATGCTCCAATCCTTTCATACAGCTCCTCAGGTGTGGTGACACCCTGCAACCATAGCATTATTTTCGTTGCTACTTCATCACTGTCATTTTGCTACTGTGATGAATCGGGCAACCCCTGTGAAAGGGTTGTTCGACCCCCAAACAGGTCACAACCCACAGGTTGAGAACCGCTGCCTTAGAACCTCTTTGTGTTTCTCCACCCTTTCAGCCCTGTTGTTACTTTTCTTCTCTATATGGTGTCTAAGGCACCCTGGTGGTGTAATGGTTAAGCTTTGGGCTGCAGTTCAAACCCACCAGCCGATTTGCAGGAGAAAGACGAGGCTTTCTACTCCTGTAAAGATTTACAGCTTCAGAAGCCCACAGGGGCAGTTCTACCCTGTCCTGATAGGGTCGCTGTGAGTCAGAATGGGCTCCAGGGCAGTGAGTTTGTTTGCTTTTGGTACCAGGTGACAAAAGGACAATCTTTCTAATTTTTTTAGAAAGATTGTCCTCTCACCTGGTACCTCATTTCTGTGGAATCTCTGTCACTTAGCAAGTCCCCTGGACCACGCTTCCCTGGGCCAGAGTCCACCATTCTAACGCTTCAAATACTGTGTCGTCTTTGGCAGCCTGTCCTACAGGGCGGCAACTGCAACCCACTGAAGCGGGCTCACCTGGACTTTGGGTGGAGGGAGGAGGTAACCACCTTCATCCATCACAACAGCTTCTCCTTCTGATCTCTGCCTTCCTCTCTGCTCGCATGCCCTTTCTCTCCCTTTCTCTCTCTCTCTCTCTCTCTCTCTCTCTCTCTCTCTCTCTCTCTCTCTCTGCAGAGTTCTGCTTTCCAAGCACTTGGCTGCCCTGCCTCCAAGCCCTTAGCCTCACCATCTTGTTAGGCTTCACAAGCCCCCAGTGAGGTAGGTACCGTGAAGCCCCATTGTGTAGATAAGGTCACTTAAGTCTGGGGCTGTGACAGTCTCTGGCCAACCTCACCTAGCTAAGTAGCAGGCTGTCTAAGGTTTGGATCTCTGGACCTGTCTAGCTCCCAAACCTAGCCCAGCTTTGGTTACCATGGTAACTGGAAAACCCTGCCCAGGCCAGTGAAGATCAGCAGCTCTGTGGCTCTGAGGACCCCTGGTTGTGAAATGAGGTCTCCCGCAGTGACTTTCAAAGAACCCCTCCCAGTGAAACCTGGGAGGAGCCTTGGTGGCAGAGTGGCTGTGTTTTGGACTGCTAACCACAAGTTCAGCAGTTTGAAGCCACCAGCTGCTCCGGGGTAGAAAGACAGGTTTTTCTACTCCTGTGAAGAGTTACAGTCTTGGAAACTCACTGGGGCAGTTCTACCCTGCCCTATGTGGTTGATGGCAGGGAATGAGATGGAGGGAATCCTCCCTGCCCCAAACAGGGTGGGCACGTACAGATGCCTAATTCAGCGTGAAGAAAACAGCTGCGAATGACACCCTTCTCTCCTGCTGGTGTTTCGGGCATTTTATGGGGGTCACACAGAATCACAGGAGGTCCGCATTCCCATAGATAAATGCTTATGAAGAACGGACGGGGCTGTTTTGTTTATTTCTTAAGAGCTCATCTCGCTATCAGAATCCTGAATTTGTAGATCCAGCCAAACCAGTTGCCTCAGGTTGGTCCCAATTGGTGGCGACACCTATGTGTCACGGGAAGACTGTGGTCTGTAGGGTTGTCCGTGATCGGTCTTCTTTCCAGAGTGGCTCGCCAGGCCTTTCTTCCACGGCCCCTCTGGGTGGACGCTGGTAAGCGGCGCGTTGGCCATTAGCACCACCTAGGGGACTCCCACAGATCCTGCAGGAGCAGCCTTTCTGAGCAGCACTGCAGCATCTGCTTACCCGTGAACCAGTCCCACTGCCGTCGAGTGGATTCCAACTCAGGGTGACCATGTAAGACAGCAGAGACCTAGGGTTTGTGAGGCTGTTGATCTCTCCAGGAGCAGGCAGCCAGCCTCATCTTTATCCCTCGGGGTAGCTGGTGGGTTTGAACTGCAGATCTTGCAGTTAGCGACTTACTGCCTAACCCACAGTGCCATCAAGGCTCCTGTGGCTACCAACAGGCTATCACAAACGCAGTAAGTACCACCACCAAGAACAACAATTCGCCAGGCACTGTTTTAGAAACACTTGTAACAGCTCATTTGACCCACAGCAACCCAGGAGGTGAGGGGTGGGGGGATCACTGCTGTGCTGCCTCCCATGTTACAGGTGAGGAAACTGAGACCTAGAGAGGTGAAGGAACTTGCCCAAGAATATAAGCTCTTTTGGATGAGACCCTGCAATTATACTAGGGCAGCCTGGCTCAGAGTCCCAGCCCCCACCCAACCCCTTACACCTTCCTGGCCAGCTTTCACATTTGGTGTATAGCTCTGGTCCTATTGGTATGTAAGGAGCCGTGGTGGTACAGTGAGTTATATGTTGGGCTGGTAACCACAAGGTCAGTCGTTCAAACCCACCAGCTGCTCTGCTGGAGAAAAATGAGGTTTTCTGCTCCTGTAAAGATTTACAGCTTGGAAACCAAAGGGGGCACTTCTGTTCTGCCCTCTAGGGTCACCATCAGTCAGCATTACCTCGATGGCAGTGGATTGTTCTGAATTGTAGGTTTTTAAAAGGCTGAAAAATAGATTTTTTTAAAAATGAATCTTACACATAACAGTCACGCCTCTTTGAAAGCCCCCTGCTCTATAAATAGCTTGTTGTTGCTATTGTTGTTTTTTATCCAGATGAGATCATAGCCAAAGGGTCTCTGAGGATCTTTCTAGCCCATCAACTGCAGTTCAGATCATTCTAGAATTTTCCTTTCAAGTCCTCACATCTAAGTGTCCATGGTTCTGGGAGTTTTGGGGGCTCTAATGCCTCCCCTCCCCTGACAGGCGGCTCTAGGGGTATAGAAAGGTGCTTGGGGGAGTTGGGGGCGGGGAGAGTGTTACTAGCTGCTGCAGGTGGGACCTTGTTCACCGGCCCTGTCTCCTCCTCCCAGATCTTGGTGGCTTTGCGACACCTTCACTTCAAGAACATCGTCCACTGTGACTTGAAGCCAGAGAACGTGTTGCTGGCCTCTGCCGACCCATTTCCCCAGGTCAGTTACGACCTCTTCTGATTTGAGGGGACTCCAGCCAGCTCTGGGGACGCATCAGGCTTGCACACGAATGGAGATGTCTGTTCAACTGTTCATCTTTGAACCCAATACTGGTTTAAACCGATGGGGAGAGAGCAGTTCCATGAAGCAGTCAGCTCGTTACAGAGTCTCCAGGGTCAAACTGACAGCAGCAACTCGAAAGGATAGACGAGCATCTGAGTGTGCTTTTTAGCTTGTGTTAAAGGTGGGCGGGGCTCGTTCAGGAGGTGAGCGAGCAGGTGAACATGCAGGTAAGAAATGCTCAGGATACAATTGTTCCGTCAGGACGTGTTACAGGGTTCTTTTCCAGTTGCTAATGAATGCCCAAAGGGCACATTAAGCTTCAGCTCCAGCTCTGGTCAGCAAACCCAACTCTCCCAATTAAGTGCCCAAGGCCGGCAGCCCACTCTACAGGACAGCCTCCTGCCCCAAAGCACTCCGCTGTACTTGCTCCATGGGCTGGGAAGGTCACTGTGGGGCCCCTGGTTCTGTTGTTCCTCTGACACTCTTCTGGTGTCACTGTTCCCTGGAACCTTGAGTTTCACTGCTCAGCAATCTTGGGGGTCCAGAGGACTCATTCAGCTCTTGGTTCTTGCCGGTAGTGAGACTCCCCCCCACTCCCCTCCTGTTGCTTCCAAGATGCTTCCAACAGGATGTCAATCACAGTGGATCAAAAATCACTGTCCCTCACCCAGACCCATCAGGAGAAAGGCAATTGAGTGGGAAGTACAGAGACTAGAAGAACTACATTAAAAGGTTCAGGTTCCCGATGGTGCAAAACGGGAAGATAGGCGTGGTGACAGGTAGCCCTTACTGAGCACCTGCTGTATAAGCCAGACATTGCATCCTCTGGATTAACCCAATATACTCTCCCTCCCACGGATAAGGAAACTGAGGCACAGAGAGGGAAGTCAGCCGGCAAAGGGGGGAGCCTGGGTCCAAACCAGGACCTGTAACCACGGCCCCGAATGTTCTCATTTAAGCCGTGGTGGGGGTGGCCCACAGCCCCCCCGTAGCCCTTCGACATTCACCGTCACCCTCCCCCCAGGTGAAGCTATGCGACTTCGGCTTCGCGCGCATCATCGGCGAGAAGTCCTTCCGGCGCTCGGTGGTAGGCACGCCGGCCTACCTGGCCCCGGAGGTGCTGCTCAATCAGGGCTACAACCGCTCACTGGACATGTGGTCAGTGGGGGTGATCATGTACGTCAGCCTCAGTGGCACGTTCCCCTTCAACGAGGACGAGGACATCAACGACCAGATTCAGAATGCAGCCTTCATGTACCCGCCCAGCCCCTGGAGCCACATCTCCAAGGGAGGTGAGCCAGGCGGGGAGGCGGGGCCCCATGGGATGATGTAGGGGAGTGGGCGGGGCCAGAAATGTTACTAGCCCATCACTGACTCACTTGGGGGTGGAGCCTAGCAGGGGCGGGGCCAAGGGGGGCGGAAAGCCCTGGTTGCGCTGGGGGTTAAGTGTCCAAGTCTTGTCAGGTCGTGAGTTCAAACACGCCAGCCCCTCGGTGGGAGAAAGATGACGTAGTCCACCTCTGTAAAGATGACAGCCTCATGGGCTAGTTCGCCTCTGCCCTCTGGGGTCTCTC